CAAGTTGTTTTTAGCTGCGCCTTGCTACATTGAAGGGAAAAGTGCGGTCCACAATCATACCGATAGTATCCGGTATCAAAATGCACCATTGCAAACAACTCAATCAAGCAGTTACATTTCGCAACACTATGTACCAACATTTCATTCTCGAAAGTCGATGAAGGACTCTGTCAATCTTGGAAAACTATCTTGAAATCAACGGATGAAATCAAATGCGAACGAGAAAGGAAACGCTTTCTTTCTCAACGGCTAGTGTTTGTTCATTTGCATGCGAGGCCTTCTCTTCGTTTATCGACGCACGCAAATTGCAAAAAATAAAAATAAATAAAAATACGCAAACAACTGATGCATTCAGTGAGCAGGGGGATATTGCAGCAACCGACCCAGACCCAGCCCAAGACACAATCGCCAGCCCCATGTTTCCATGCCCCAAACGCCTTACGGGCGTCAGCGAACACATTTCCCACGTGTTATGTATAACGCGTAAAACATCAGTAAAAAAAAGAAAAGAAAAGAAGTGAATAAAAATGCCAAACCCCTCGAGGGGACTTGTTCGAGAGAAAAAAAAAGGAAGAAGAAAAAAGGTAAAATTTAGGTATTCTCTTTTACTTTCGATCGTAATTTTCCGTGGGTTCGTTCGCCGCCCAGCGGTCTGAAAAATGACCTAGAGTAGGATACACTCGCCTCCGGGCAAGGTCAGCGTAACGCTTTTCTTATCCGTGCCTCTCCTCGCGAAAGGCTCCCGATTGCGCACGTGTTACTGATAAGCTAACGATGTGATATAATAGCTTGTCGGAACGTCCACCGAAACTAAGACGCTCAACCAGATAAGAAAGAAACTTTTTCGAATAACTTGAGGAAGGAATAGCCGACGCACATCTATAACAAACCTAAAAAAATGACTTCAATAAAGAATTCTACTTCAATAAGAGTAATAATAAAAGTAACCCGAATATTCAAGAGCAAGCAAGTTCAAACTAATGCTAATGAACATGGCCTCATCAAAACAAATCATCATATTTCATCCTCCCGGACGGCGGCCGCAATATTGCAATTATTCGAGCACTGTACTTGTTTGACTATGATTCGGAATCTCCTCAGCCAATTTTTTTTATAGCTCTGATAGAAAAACAAGAACGAGCTTTTTTTTTTTTAGATCAAACTATAGTAGCCAAATCATCAAGATTAGCTATATAAACGTCACAGTGTCCAAGTTCGAACTTCGTAATTTTAAGTCGCTGAAAAATCGACGTGAATTTTTATATTTTCTTGAACAAGATTCCCAATCAAACCCAATGCTCGAAGTCGCTTCACTTCATTGATCGTTATTCCTTCGAACAGTCAATCAATATGACGCAAAATCAGACATCGAAGAAGTTCATTTATTCAGCAGATCAGAAAAATCCTGGAAGATAAATTTCCCCGATAATTAGTAAATCAAATAAAAATTGATGACAGGAGATTGGAATTACAAAATGGTACATATAGACCATTTTGATTCATCTTTTGAATTTATAGGTGCTTGGGCAAAGTTATGCAAAGTCCGAGTAATTCAAGCCCTTCTTGAGCAACTGTTCCAGTGGAAAAAACAAAAAGACATCAGGAATTGACAGGAAATATAGACATTTGTGATTAAGTTTATGAGACAATTTGTCGACTATCACAAAAAAAGTTATTTGGTATGGGTAGATGTCACTACTGGGAGTCAGAGTAGGGTAATAATTTTACCTGTAGCATAATCTTGAACTTCTGGAATCATTCTTTCGCTGTACTACTGTATAACTTTAAAAAAAAATTAGTGTTTTTTTTAGTAAACTTGTATGTTTTATTCTCCTGAACGCGTTCACCTCCTATTTTGAACCACTTTTGCATCCGTCTTCGCCAATCATCGATGCGTAAAGTTTTTTGTAAAGCGGCTTACGTTTTTAGCGGTCAGTAATTTCGGACAGCTCAAAACTTGATGCTTGGATTACAAAGTGACGTGTTTGTGCGGAAACTTTTGGGAAAATCTTCGCCTTATTATGCAGCAAAAATCATGTCTACGATAATATTGTCAAATAATTGCTTATATCTGATGGGATGGCTTGATTCGATGCATCATCGCAGGCGATTTTCAAAGATTACTTCTCTAACTTCTGATTATTTAAAGTAGGTTAAGTTGAGCACGCAAGTCACTTTTCCCTCAAGCGATGTGCCGTCGGCGTTTATAAACATTTCGTTCCATCACAGGCCACGAACATAAAAATTATTCGCTTGGTTCCCTCCATTCATTATTTTCGCGGGTACCCGTAATATTCATACGAAAATCAAATTAAATGCGACGCCTGGAAGTGGTTCAAGATCATGGAAGACGGGACTCAAATTGCTTACATTACGATGAAAAAGATAAATAAAATATTTTCGAAAAATACGAAGCGTTAAAATACACGAAATGTACCTAAGATTATTAAAAAGGAATATGATTCGCTTAGAATATAACCTGAATTATGAGGAATTCGGAGTGCTTTTCTTCCCGTGCTGCGGAAGCTTGGAAATTCATGGATTGCAGAAATTCAGAAATGAGAAGAAACATTTTTCACAAATACCACAAAAATGAAATGAAGAGATTTCAGCGAATATTTGCGACACCAGGAGAAGACAGCTAATTTCTTCAATAATCTGTCTTTCATTGCTTCTGTGCTTTCTTCTTGAAATTCTCTTTTATAATATTCTTTGCTAGCTCATGTTCGATTCTGTATTTTATCTAGAATTTGCATGCGTTCATCGATTCAGTCCGTTAAGAATGGGGCGGATAAAATGCAAATTCCTAGAGGTCGCTTTGTGTGCTTGAAATTTACGAGCACTCAATCGATTGCATGGTTAGTTCAAGTCCGGAGATTCAAGGTTTTACTAATCAAATGTAAAACTAATAAATCCCTTAGGATAATCATGTTCTTGTTAATTCAACGACATCGCTTATTAATTCACTTGTAAAATCGATGGGGCGGAGGCAACATGCCCGGGGCGGAGGCAAGGATAATTATTGTCCACCTTTTTCGCTCGGTCATTAAATCTAATTGCTTCTCCATCGGCTGCCACAACAAGGTTGGGTTATCCAACATGACTGTCGTTTGAACCTTGCGACATTCGTTTCAACAAACGTACCCCAGATTTTCCGAAACGGTTCGGTTTCGAGTTCGTTTCACAGCACGATTCTGCAATTTGAAGCGATTGAAGGATTTCTTTTTTACATGGTATGCATATCTTTGACCTGCTTTCGACTTAAAAAACAAAAATGATAAGACTGGACTTCCGTCGATAGCGTTCAAAAATAATCTGTACTATTCTGTGGAGGGAACAATTTGAAACATCCTTAGTATTTACGAGCTACGACCATGTGAGTGCTGTGGAGTTCATCTGGGGTCGTTTTGCTTCTCTTACTGCAGACAAATTTCGAAGATCGCTTTCAAAGTGATTTCATAAAGAGAAATCATGGATAAATAAAGACAAATTCGGAGAGGCAAAATAAAAAAATTTCGTAAATAATATATGGAGGACAAGCAAAAGTTTCAGCAACAGCTTCGCCACCATCAGAAGAATAGAACGGCCAAAAATTGTCCCCATAACTTTGATGAAGGCATTTCAAATGTGCAATTTTCAACGTTTTCCAAGGATCCGTGCTTTATGGGCAGTTATTATTGCAGGCAAGGAATATGCTGGTTGTACAATTCAATGTAGAAAAATACTTCGCAATATCTTCACGCAGATATCTTCATACTTTTAGTTTGAGTTCATACAGGATTTTAAAACTTTTTTCCGTCTAGCAAATATTTAGTTTTCAAACAACATTTCCAAATTTCCTCCGCCCAAAATTTCTCTATTGAGAATACGTATCAAGCATTATTTTGACAATCATAAAACAGTAAAAATACCAAAAACCTTTTGCCTATGGGGAACTTAGAACCATGGACAATAAATGAGTCATTCGAATTGAACCTACATGTTACCGTTAATTTTCTTTACGAATTTCTCGGCGTAGAGTACTTTATAAACAATTTGCCTTTTTCCGTTTTAATGCTCTTAAAAATAAAAATTTCTGCCTTCGGCCATTCGGCTTTTGCAAGTATTTCAGAACCGCAGGAAACTCTGCAGCAGGTTTTTCTTCAAATACTCAGAACATATATTTCGGAAGGAAATAATTTGGAATTTTTTATTTGGTGTCACAACAATACCCAAGAAAAAATTCCATGAATGCGGAGACTGATTACCCATTGGAAAGCAAACTCGCAATTTTCAAAGTGTTCGGGTCTCTTTGATCAATGCTGTATTTATTGATGAGAGACTTTCCGGTTTTGACTGAGGAAATTAGGTTATATGAAGCATACTACATTAAAATTAAAATAAAGATTCAGAGAACTTAAATTTTCATACTTTGCTTCTTTTTCTTTGCTGACTTATTGGGGTTTTACTACTGTACAGTTGAATCTCGTTACAATGAATTCAATAAAATGATGAATCTTTCCTCAAGATATCATCAGAACAGGCAATAGTTCGATGAATCCTCATCGCATAGCATCATGAATAATAAAAAAAGATTTGTCAAGGTCATATTATGGTGTTAAATAAAATTCTGCCATAGCTTGCTTTTTTGTGAGAGTTCTAGCCCGGGATTGGATCATAGGAACCTAACCCTTCCCAGATACTCACGGAATGGGACCCAGTGCGGTTTCTTTGGCATTTATCGGGTAACCAAACGGTGGGACTAACGAACAAGACATTATAGCAGGTCCCGAAGTGATGCGCTGCTGATGACCAAGCCCGACCCCATCACTATACACCAATGCCACCAAATGGGGTTCTGTTGGGCGGGTTTCGCTTTTCAGCGCGGAATCCATCAGCCCTGCGGCTGGTCCAGATTTATCAGCTCCAACTGCTTGCGCATTCATGGCCGTAAATTTATCAACTTCGCAACTGCTAAGCCATCAGGTTAATTTTCCGTCTCGTATTGTTGGAACTCGCAAATGCATTCGTGCCCGTGGGGCAGGGCCCGGTGGGTTCCACGGGTTTCGGTATATAAAGCCACTGCGTGACCTGAGGTTCAATCGTCAGTCGAGAGCAACAAGTGTAACCGGTCGTTTCATCGCTTACAGTTTGTTACAACCAGTTATTTTCGTGTTTCGTCCACCGAGAGAAGAAGAAAAAAACCGATCAACATGTTCAAGGTGATGCATGATTTTAGGAACCACTCCTTTTTTATTTTCTTGGACTCTTGAGATTTTTCCCCAACTTTATATTTGGGTGATCCCCGCCCTTTGCCTCTATGATGAAAGCTTATGGAAGTTTTATTTGTTAAAAATTCCTTCTTCTGTATTTTATGTACGCGTAAAATTTAAGTATTATACAATGTCGGTAAGCTCAACATATTCATGTTCAGAAAATTTAGCTTCTCCTGGCCTTGAACAGCAATGCTCTGGATAACATAAAATTTCGCTGCCCCACGAAACATCTCGAAATTTAATTGCCAATTCTGTCCAAGAACATTCTCCGTGCATCAAGTCATGTTATGGCCTCATGACTATACTCGGAGTTTAACTGGGCAAGAAAACTTGGCCAATTTGCAGTTTGAAGAGACAACTTTTGTTCAATGCAATGAGAGGGAGAGAATTTATATGGCAGAACAAGATGTATCAATGCTTGTTTCTTTATCCAAATTTATTAGTTCATCCTAGCTGCGGTCATTGTTGGAGTCTGCGTTGCTGACAGCCAACCAGCCTACAGACCGGCCCAACCCTACAGGCCAGCAGCCTACCAGTCCTACGATGCTGTAAGTAGGCTTAGATTCCTAGAGAAGTTTTCAATGGAATCGTATTGAACAGGAATGAAAGGGAGATGAACTTTCGAAACCAAACTTCAACCGAGTTCATCACTTTATTGATGACATTCTTATTGAGAAATACTGTATATTTAATTGAAATTGAAGTTACGGAAGTTTTAAATTTGAGGTAAAAAAAATTCTTAAGATGGACGTATTCCAGCTCATCTCAAAGCAAGAAATCAAAAAGCTTTATTCACTGAACGTGTTACAGTATAAATCAGTACGTTGCGGACTACCGTTACACTTGTCGCTGCGCATGTCTTCAAATAAACTTGAATATTACATGTGGAGACTATCATATCTATATAATATATATTTAAATAAAATAATGGTATATTTAGTCATTTACTTGATCAAGCTACCCCATCTCGGACACGGCAATAAAACGTCAACGTGGCCTCTGATTCTACATGAAGAATTTTCGGAATATTAAAAAAAAAAAAGATCATGTCATCAAATTATTTGCAAAGCCTTCAAATTTCTTCAGCGGGTCGTCAACGGGGAATAACCTTTGCTTTTCAAAGAACACGATTGAAAGCTCATTTGCGCAGTTTATACATGATTATATCTCTTTTCGTGTCTAGTTAATTTTCTGTTAATTTTTCAATAATTTTATCTTCCAATTCAGTTATGTAATGTTCGAGAGAAAATCAAGAAATCAGGATATATCGCTCGATAGCATGAAACACAATGCTCAATTTTGCGCAATAAATTATTGAAAACAGTCATTTTCTACCAACACGAATGTTTTAAGAGCATTCATCAGTAATGGAACCCGAAGAATAAAATGTCACCCGAGTTTTCAAATTATTTTTGAGAATAATAAAGCTTTAAAAAATGCCAGTTTATCATGGCTGACGAGGAAAAATATGCAAATAAGATTAGCATAAAATATTGTCAGTTGCTCAAAATTAATGCCGCTATCTTCCACGAGCAGTAATTATTTCGGACTATCTCAGTCAAAAGCATAATCCGGAAAAAAATTATATGATAGTCATGGAAAATATTCAAGTACATTCCTCAGTTCCTCCAGCGAGGAAAATTTTGCATATAGAACATGCTCTGACATTTTCCGGCTAAAGCCCGGAAATAATAATTCGAAATTGTAATAATTCGAAGTAGAATTCCATAAATAGCCGTCGAATCACTCAATTTTTTGAGCTATCAAGTGGATTATTAAATCTGCGAGAAAAAATGCCAGTTGATCCAATTTAGGCGTTGATTTATTCCACCAAATATTTTTTATGCTGCTGTGGAACGACATATTTGCTGCCAGAATTTCAGAATAACGACTCTTTGTCGCTTCAGAGTAGAGTCTGTCCATCTCTGAATGATTCTGCTATACGCACGGAATGCAAAATTATTTCGGGATGGAAAAACGACAGCTTTCGCATTTAAAAAAAAATCTAAATATGCGTACAATTCAATTTGTTTCCAGCCACCGAAATACAGCTTCGACTGGAGCGTGAGGGACGACTACACCTACAACAACTACAACCACCAGGAGTCCCGCGACGGAGACAACACCCAGGGTTCCTACTCGGTCCTTCTGCCCGACGGCCGAGTCCAGACCGTCAAGTACTACGTCAATGGCGACTCTGGGTTCGTCGCAGAGGTCACCTATTCCGGGGAACCCAAGTACGAGGCCTCCTACCAAAAGCCAGCCTACAAACCCGCCCCGGCCGCATACCAACCCGCCCAGAAACCCGCCTACAGGCCTAGGCCCGCCTACCAACCCACCCCGTACCCAGCTTAAAGAAAAGGAAGAGAACCGATGAAGACTCGATGACGTCATCACGCCATATATACACCGTTGACTGGTGTTCTTTTTTTTACCTCATCTGTTTTTTTTTTCTTCTCAAAGAGTTTTCAATTTGTTCACTCCTTGAGTCCTTGTATACCCTGAGTGCAGTTACCATATAGGACTGGGGATCGGAACCGGTCTTCGCCGCGAGTTTTGCGTCTTTGTAGCTACTCGATTTAAAAAGTCAATTCGGTTATTTATTCGTATGAACCTACAATATTTCAGTTGTGAGGTGTTCCGGCTTTTTACATGTGTGGACTGAAATGAAAACACCTTCGACATTCTGCTTTTANCCAAATAACTTCAGCAGTGTATGCATTTTTCTTGGGGAAATCGATTTAAGCCACAATCAACAATCAATGAAAAATGATGAACTTTTTTCATTAAATGTGTAAGTTGCTAGATGGAAGAGGGTATATCAATTTTTATGGCTTCAACTGAAGGCAGGTTGGCGAAGAAAAAAGCTTATAACATTGTTTTATTGGTCATTGCACTTGGATGAAAGAGTTTGGGCAATACTTCAGAAAAGCTATTTACGTTTATTCATAATTTTTGGTACTTTATCAAGGTAGATGTTTTCTTTTTTTGTCTGCTGAGAATCTAAATGGAATGAGAAAATATGAAATCCCCAAGATGCATAAGTATGGTTTTGATTAGATTTTCTTTGTTATTCTCCCCATACATTCACAAGATTGATATTTTGGAAATAATTTGAGATTAACCCTTGGGTGGCAAAGTTGGGTTATTTTTGAAAAATGTTGTTGCACCCCAGAGAGGTGAAAAAAATGTCAAAAGGGGGTTAAGCGCAAAGTCAGGAAAAATCCCAATGTTTTTCTCCCTGGGCTTAGAAACTTTTTGCAGGAAAATGTAAGAAATGCTTAGTTAGGCTAACCACTTTTCTTCGGATTTATCCCAACTATGCCTCAGCCCACCTGGAAGAGTTTTCCTAGCTGACTTTTAAAAATCTGAAAATGCGGGAGGATACACAAATAGTCTGACTCTGCCCCGCTATGCGAAAGAACCCTCTGTGGTCCAAGGGTTAATCAGGGATGATTTCACTAAATGTGAAAAGCACAGGATGGAAATCTTGAAAAGAGTTGTAAATCCCTTCTGATTGTGATTGGGCAAAAATACAAATAAATGCATTGTGATAGCAATTGGGGATATAAAACATCAGTGCCTTGTGATTGCAATTTTGATTGTGGGGTAATTTTTGTGCTGGATTGTGATTGCAATTGTGCAAGTATATTTTTGATTGTGATTACCAACCCTGGTTATGATAGAACAGAGAGAGTCACAAATACAAACCCAAAAAATTCCTGTAAGTTTCTGGCATTTCAGGACTGCAGTCCCACTAAAATCATAAAATTATAATCAACAACAATTGTTGTAGGCTTAATTTGAAATTGATTTGATGATTCATTCACATGAGCTCGTTTATTAAAACTTTTCCTTCGCATTATTACGGTTTGGCAAAGATTGTGGTGAAATCAAATGAAAAAAGGTGCATTTCAACAGCAGCCCCCTTTTTTCGCAATTTTCACAAAAAAGTGACGGCAGAAAACAAGAATCACAAAAAACCTGTGGTAATTTTGTCGAAATAGTGCATGAACATACATTATAGGTAATAAATTGTCTCGCGCTTGTTCGGTTTGAAACCAATGGAATAATACAATACAGCAGATACGCTCACTTTCGAGAACTTTAATTACTGAAAAGCGAGAACGTTTATCACACTTTTTCAAACATCATTTATTTCATTCATTTCAAAAGAGGTTTGTCGAAAGGAATTAAGCGCGAAAGCTGATTTTTCCCGTTTTAGAGATTTCCCACATCTGCTAAAAAAGCATCACGAAAATTATCTTGCAGTAACTCGACGAAAAGCCCACATGATGATTTCCATTCATTACATTGTTTCAAATGAAAAATTTTCGTCGATTTTTCCAGTTTTGATACGGTACGAACGGAAAACTTGCAATAACGATTTTAGCAGCAACAATTTTGTTGCGAGATTGCTGTGCAGCAATAAATGTCATCTTCGAATAAAGACGATAATGATCGTCATTTACAAAGTTGAACAGATCACCTAAATTGCCCAGTTTCTTTTTATTTTTATACTGGATTAAGAAGGGAAAGATTGTGCTGGAAGAGAAATTCAAGCTCCCCCTAAGACTAAGTTTTCTAGTTGAATTTCAACTGTAGAAGAATAAACTATACTGTATATCAAGGAAAATTTCTGTATATTCTTTGCGGCGTCCATGGAACTTTGTGATCCACGATTATTTTTTCTGTGCACGAACATCAGATTTCGTAACGGCCATATTTTCAGCAATATTTTACTGTATGTATACCTGAAAAAATTTAAAGGCGTATAGAGGTTACAGCAAAACACTTTCGTAGTTGCATATAATCCCTTAAAGGCTTTTATAATGACACCCGCAAGATTTACCTTCTCATCCACGAGCAGAAATGATCCATTACACAATGAAGCTTCCTTGATTAAAACTCATGAGCATGCTCGCATCTGTAATTTAATTTTTTTCGAATGGAAATTATGTAAAACTTTGGTAGCAAGATTTTAAAATGCATGCTATCACACATCCTTCAAATACTTTTCACCCTCTCGAAAATCAACGGCGATTTCTTGGAAAGGTTTCATTGCCCCATTGTCCAAGTTGTTGCGCAAAATCCTGGAACCTCAATTCAATGACGGCTACTTAATTCTAGGAGAGGGAATAATTGTAGCTTACTTAAAATTTCCCACGTGTGAGTTCGTGGATGCAGCCGTTAAGTGTGGTAATGTAGGGTTTGTGTCCGATTATTTTTGGCGAGGAGTAAAACGCCTAGTTTCCGTCTTAAGCAGTGTCTATATTTTTTATATATAGTGAAAAAAAGAAAAAACTTATCTAAAATTGAAGGCCATCGTCGTTGCCTGAAGTGTGCGACTGACCCAAAGAAGGCCATTTAAAACCGTATCAAATGCTATTCTTCATGATGGGAAATATTTTCTCGAAGAAGCCATTATAGCAGTGTCTTGGTTGACACCAACAAAGGGAATGTGAAGGATAATTTTATTCTGAAATTTAAGCGTGGGTAAATTTTGGTCCTTGAATGTGTTCATTCACCAGCTGCGGAATGCCACGATTTCCGGACATATATCTTTCAACCCGAGCTGATGAATTCACCTTTGTGAAAATAAAATAGCTCAATTTGTGGTCGAATGTATCAGAAGATTCAGAACTTATAGAAATTTACGGACACATGTAAGTATTTCTGTCTCTTGTTTGAGTTTTACATGATCGACTCTAAAACACACGATTTTTTTCGAATCGAATAGAAATGGCGTTTTATCGTTAAGTATAAATGTACTAGGTCAAGTACGTGTAACTCCGAATTTCGAAGAGGATTTTTCAAGAACGGCCGGTGGCAGAAATGCCCACAACATGAATCGAAATTGTACAAGGAAATCATGAATACCAACGGAAATAAAAGTAATCCTCTTGAATTTCCGGCTGATAAAACAGCATATTCGTCGAAAGAGGCTGAGGTCAACAAGACACCCAGTATAACCTCGATCACGCAGAAAGAATTTTGGCTAAAGACTCAAAAATGACAGTGGTCCAAGGTATGATTAGTGCGCAAATACTTTCAATTCTTTTCATTATGGGTCACGCGAATATAACTGCTTCCGATTGTTTGTTTCTCGACCCTGGTTGCTCATATAACTAAGGAGGAAAAGCGATGTAAGCAGATCACGCACATGATCCGAATGTCGCTTCTGGCGGGATTATGACACCAATGAATTTGCTGCCGGAGCCTTGAAGGATTAACGTCTTTTCATACGAAAGGGCAACAATTTTTTAGTCAAATTGCCCGCTTTGCATGAAGGTTTCTTATGCGGGAGCTTCGGTGGACAGAAATAACAGGCTTCCGTAATCTTATATTATACCGTTCTAGATTTTTCCCGACGAGAAACCAGATTATTTTTTTTAAATAACTTTGGAACGTTGTCTGAACACCTATTGAACAAACTTTTATTGTCTTGCATTATTGCTATTTCTTGAGCATACGTGTCAATAATGTGAACATAATGCAGACCCATTTCCACTGCAATCCGAACAATTGCATTTATTTAAGTAGTATATCCCCACACAAATAAAAACATTCGCGGATATCCTGACATTGTCGAAATAGATAAAGGAAATTACTCATTCTCTCCTTTTTGGAATGGCATCTTTAGAAAGAATTTCAAAAATGACATCAGTCTCATCTATGGTGATTCTTGAATGTCTAGCACAGCGATTCAGCTGATTTAGGTATTAATGAAAACACAAAAACTCACAATAAGCCCGTAAGACATTACTAGAAGAGGACTGAAAATAAAATTTAACACGTAATATAGGATCTCTGAAATTCTTTGGCGTGCTTTTAAGAACGACATATGATAGAATTGCATTTCGCTGTCAAAGAAAGAGAACAGAAGACATTCAAAGAAATTTATAAGGATATACTGCTGCAACAAAACTTCAAGAGCTATTGGAAATAATAAAAATCAAGCAGTCAAGCCAAGATGAAGAAATTATCATCGATTAAAAGAAACTCATTTGCAATTTTAGAAGCATGCTTACTGTATTCCATGTCAGAATCCCATTCTCCTTCAATACCTTCAAGTATTACAAAACTGGTACTTGTGGAAAAAAATTCCGTTTTTTTTACAAGTCTTCGGGCGCCCCGTCGAGCTTTCAAAATGCTTGGTTTAACCGCTGGACAGTTCGTGTTCTACTAGACATCGGCCACATCACTAGGACTTTGTTTTGACACACATTCAGGTTCGTTGTGGATCATTATCTCATCAAATAGTTACTTTGTGGCGGCTTCAGCTTCAGATGTTTGGCCCCGAGGGGTTCACGTGCTAGGAGCAATTTAGATTTTGTGAAAATTCGCGTCGAGTT